GGAAGGGGAGCCCCCACTGGTACAAAAGAGTGAAGAAGCTTCTATAGATGGGTACTATCTATTTGTAGTTTTTGTTCCGATTTTAGGTTAACCATATTCACCTATTCTAGTTAGAACCATAAGAAAAAAAGAAAAAGATACTTCTTTGGAATACCTTTGCGTTATTTAGGATGTAGTTTTCGTTCAGATTTTTTTGTTTATTCAATTAATCATATTATAGTTAGAGTTCCGCGTTCGGTTCAGTTGTAATAATAAATAAATGCAATTAATTTAATATATGTGCGTTTGCTTTTCGAGGATTTTTGCGTTCATAAACAGTTAACAGGTCCAAATGCTTGGGGACGGGACCTACTTGAATGTCTTTCATATCTAGATTCACAAGTCGATTCAGAAGCTTCATAAGTGAAGACAAGACAAAGCAGGATGTAAAAATTGACATTAACATACAAAAACCATAACCGATAAGTGAGCAAACAAATCAGGCGAAAAATTTCAGCCAACCATAAAGCTTGATTTATAAACTCTCAGTCACCGTTCGTTGTCACCGTTCCCGTTCGTTGTCACCGTTCGTGTCGTTTCTGAGCATTTATAAACTCTAAACCGTTGCCGTTCCCGCTGACAAAATGTATACATTTTTAGGTTAGATTTATTCATAAGATTTATATTGTCGTTATCGATATTGTGTGTTTTTTTTTTCTCTGTAGGTACTTTGTAGAAAATAAATAGTTTTTGTTATGTTCGGTGTAAAATAGGATTCACTAATCACTATTCACTTCACCACCTCAACTGTGTTGCTTTGGAAATTAGAAAACACAACACAAACAAAAACACATCCTAACCCAATATATTTATCTTGAATCACATGACCAAAATTGTCTAATTTGATTGGCTACTGCACGAACGACGAACGGTCGAGTTAAAAGTTAACCAAGGTGGAACGGTGCCGTTCGCGAGGAAAACGACGAACGGGAACGGCAACGGTGGATATAAATGCTTACATTAATTTCCTATATTTGAAGTTGGAACGGGAACGGGAACAACGAACGGTGACGGGAACGGTGGAGTTTATAAATCACACTTAAAGGTGGCAACAGCCCCTGCTGTTTCTTTGGTTGCCTATCTTTTGAAAAAGGTCTTGCTATGGATTATTTCGCAAAAATAACAATAACAAATAATCACGCTAAAAATTGAAAAAAGAAAACTCCATAAATCTTTAGATAATCGATCAAAGAATATTTATGCCAAATGTAAGGAATTTGACTCATCAGCCTCCATTTTTATCTCAAAATTGAGGAAATTAGGAATAAGTTAAGTACTGCAGGAGTGCGTTCAAGGACGGCAATGCTAATGCCAAATAGAGGTGGAGAACTATCGATGGCGCTATCGGTAACTATCGATAGTATTGACTATCGAAATATATCGATAGTTTTTTTTAACTATCGATAGTTGGCTGTAACGCCCATTAGGCAATCCAAACCACGTGACACTCAAGATGGTGTGGCGGCCACACATGGGCAAAAAAACACAAAAAATATCTAGTGTCTGCCCGATTTAATAGTTTAGGTACGTAGTTAACAAATATCTTATTAAATATTCAAAATCAAAGTTGCAAGCAAAACTCTAAGCAAAATAATTTAAAACATGCATAAAAACATATTCAAAACAAACTTGCTTGGCCGCCACGCCATATTGAATTTTCCTTTCTGACAAATGGATTGGATTGCCTAATTAGTAAGCGAAAGTTAGGTTAGTTCCACAAAACTGAACTGCAAAAATGCAAAACAAAACAGTTTTAACTGGTTTGGAAACCTTTTTTTGATTTCCTTGCGTTATTTCTCAGGGACAATTAAAAATTTTCTGACAATTATAAAAAGTAATCTGAAAGGACTTTCAGTACTGCTGATGCTTGATGCCATTATTTCTGACAAATGATTTTGTCTGAAAGCCAAGAATGTTGAAATGATAATGATTTTATACAAAAATTCTAGGCTTCTAGAATATGATATTTTTAGTTTTAGAAAAAAGTATCTCTATTCCTTACAGAATTCCACTGCAAATGTTGATGTTACTATCGATAGTCAAAGTCCCGACTATCGATGGTCGTGACTATCAATAGTTCTCCACCTCTAATGCCAAAACCTACTTTACCCCTTCTACCGGCGATGCCAAATCAGGTGCCAGTGAAATTTGAATTTGATACCAGGTTGCTGCCCAAATTAACCTATAAATTTCTCCCTAGTTTGTTTAGGCTATTTTCCAATTTTCTAAAAAAGTCTCAAATTCATTATTTTCAGATCGTCAGCCTTAGTATTATCTAATCACCACTTCCGTTCTAGAGGCTTTTTGTATTGTATTATTTGTGTTGTTTTAGACACTTTAAGCAGGTCCTGAATTTCAAACGTATCCGTATCCGCATCGATCTGCGCATGCGCTGAATAGATACGGTGCTTTCGTTACGTTGTCCGGATCGTTACGGGCCTCGCGCCGTATCCGTATGCGAAAACGTAACTCAATAATTTGACACTATTGAGAGATCTGAGATCTTCCTGTCAGTTATCACTAAAATATCTTTAACAACATAAACACAGTACTTATAGATAAAAAAAAAACCTACAAACACAGCTAAAAAATCAATACAACACTTTTTGAGGTTAGAAAACGTTTCACCAGGGATGCGATCGTTTACGTAATGTATGTCCATGCTTAAAAAAACTTTTAGGCAGTCAAGGTAAGTCGATGCGTTTACGGATGCGGATACGGATACGTAAAAAAATCTACAGTTTGCTTAAAGTGTCTATAAGCATCGGCTCGAACGCACTTGTCTTCCGCGACGGCGCCAAAAGTGACAGACCCCACTATCCAATGAAAATTCGTATAACCATTTCTGGACTCAATTGAAAGCACCTCCAAAAGTTACTTTACTGCGGCCGAGTTTGAATGTGTGAAGCCAACCGTTTTTCGCACGCTGGAGCCCAACTTGAATGCAATATGTCAACTTTGGCTTGGGTTTAGCTGTTTCTGAATGCAGCCCTGGAGAAACTAGGAAAGCGTAGAAGTGCCATCCGAATTTAAGTTTGATAATTCTGACATAAAAGTCAGAATTCTGAGATTAATAGATCAGTCAAAATCAAAGCAACTCTTGGAAGCGACTCAGCGACGGTCCTAGCAGTCAAGGGGTGCCCCCAAGTGGGTGTACTATTTCCACTGCTATGGTCCATAGTAATAGATGAACTTCTAAACATACTAAGCGACCATAGATTTGTGGTCCTAGGAATAGGATATGCTGATGACCTTGGAGTCATCATTAGGCAAGCTTGATAGGATCATTAGTGAACTCATGCAGAATGCCCTCAACATCATCAAAAGCTGGTGCTTGCAAGAGGGTCCAAAGGTGAATCCTAGCAAGACAATAATTGAACCATTAACAAGGAAAAGGAAGCTCAACTTAATAGCTCCAACACTGGATGGAATACAAATAGGCTTTTCAAATATCTAGGCGTTGTCCTAGATCAAAAGCTCACCTGGAACTCACATTTAAAAAGAATAATCGATCGAGCAACAGTTGCGTAATGGACATGCCCAAGACTATTCACTAAAACATGGGGCCTAAACCCAAAAATGATCTTTTGGTTATATACGATGATTATAAGACCACTGGTCACATAATATGCTGCATTGGTGTGGTGGTCAAAAGTGAAGCAGCAGACAGGGCAAAACCGATTGGCAGTTGTACAAAGGTAAGTATGCATGTCTTGGAATAACAGGTGCTATGAACACCTGTCCAACCGCTGCTATAGAGGTCATTTTAGATATCATCCCTCTGCACATTGAAGTGAGGAGGGAGGCCAACATGGGGGCCTTCCTCCTTTGTACAGCTGCCGATCGGTTTTGCCCTGTCTGCTGCTTGACTTTTGGCCACTACACCAATGCAGCATATGTGACCAGGGGTCTTATAATCATCGTATATAACCAAAAGATCATTTTTGGCTTTAGGCCCCATGTTTTGGTGAATAGTCTTCGGCATGTCCAATATCCAATACGCAACTCTTGCCCCATCGATTATTCTTTTCAAATGTGAGTTGCAGGTGAGCTTTTGATCTAGGACAACGCCTAGATATTTGACTTCACTTGAAAAGCCTATTTGTATTCAATCCAGTGTTGGAGCTATTAAGTTGAGCTTCCTTTTTCTTGTGAATCGTACAATTATTGTCTTGCACCTTTAGACCCTCTTGCAAGCACCAGCTTTCGATGATGTCGAGGGAGGGCATAGGGCATTCTGCATGAGTTCACTAATGATCCTATCATGCTTGCCTCTAATGATGAATGCAAGGTCATCAGCATATTCTAGGACCACAAATCCATGGTCGCTTAGTATGTTTAGAAGTTCATCTATTACTACGGACCATAGCAGTGGGGATATAGTACACCCCCTTGGGGGCACCCCTTGACTGCTAGGACCGTCAATTCCAAGAGTTGCTTTGATTTTGACTGACCTATAGATCTCAGAATTTTGACTTTTATGTCAGAATTATCCAACTCAAATTTGGATAGCACTTCTACGCTTTCGTAGTTTCTGCAGTACTTAACTTATTCCTAATTTCCTCAATTTTTGAGATAAAGATGGAGGCTGATGAGTCAAATTCCTTGCATTGGGCATAAACATTTTTTGATCGATTATCTAAAAATTTATGGAGCATAGCAAGACCTTTTTCAAAAGATAGGCAACCAAAGAAACAGCGGGGGGGCTGTTGCCACCTTTATGGTTGGCTGAAATTTTTCGCCTAATTTGTTTGCTCACTTGCGGTTATGTTTTTTGTATGTTAATGTTAATTTTTACATCCTGTTTTGTCTAGTCTTCATTTATGAAGCTTCTGAATCGATTTGTGAATCTATATATGAAAGACATTCAAGTAGGACCCCGTCCCCAAGAATTTAGATTTGTTAACTGTTTATGAACGCAATAATCCTTGAAAACCAAACGCACATATATTAAATTAATTGCATTTATTTATTATTACAACTGAACAGAACTCAGAACTCTAACTATAGTATAATCAATTGAATAAACAAAAAAATCTGAACGAAAACTACATTCTAATAAAACAAAGGTATTCTAAAGAAGTCTCTTTTTTTCTTATGATTTTAACTAGAATAAGGTTAACCTAAAATCGGAACAAAAACTACAAATAGATAGTACCCATCTATAGAAACTTCTTCATTTTATTGTAGCAGTGGGGGCAGTGGGGGCACCAAGGAGTTGTATTCTTAACTTGCTTGCACTGCAGCATCTCTCCCCTTCCTAAAATCGGTCTGAGGGCTCTCCCTTCCGCATCAAAAATTTTCATGGGACCGTTCGGTAGCATCTCCTTTGCCAAGGGTCTCTTGGTGAAACTGGAACCTTGGCCGAGTTTGGGGACGGAGGAAGTTGGCTTGTAATCCTTCGGTAACAGCTTGCAACATGTCTGCCAGGTGTCCTTCTTAGGTTTTTCGGAGAACGTGGAAAATTTTGCTTCATTGACAGGGGGGCTTGAAGACATGGGTGCCCCGATCTGCCTCATGGCTCTTCCAGAGAACATGGAAAAAGGCTGTTCATCGACGGGGGGCTTCGAAGACGGCTTCAGCGTGGCTTCTGGTGAATTTTTCATATCAGTTTCTGCTGCTTCTGGAGCTCGTTCAGTACTCATTTTGGGTTTTATTGTTAATTTTGTTTGAATAATTATCAGAGGCACGAAACGATTGGTTTCCAATGTCAGTTGTCATTATTGATCGTTTACGCTAGAATCATATGGCTGGGCAGTGGACAGAGTCGAACTAGGATTCGATCACTCATCGATATCGAGTATGATTATCTTCTATTTTTACTGTCGTCGATTCAGTCGAGTGTGCGTTTTCTGATGGCTATAAACCAATTCTGGAGTCGCACACTCTTCCACACTTTTGGCACACCCAGCCTCTGGCAGCATTGTCTCTTCCTCTGTTCTCTCGCTCCTTTCTGCGAATTCTGCGGTCCGTTTTTTCGGTCTCTTGTCTGCGTCGCTGTTCGTCGAAATTTAGTGGTCCTTTGCCGTCCTCTCATCCCAGTTGCTGGTTTCGATGCGGCAGTCTACCATATTCTTCCTTAGAGTATCCTTGTAGCGTTTTTGTTGACCTTCCTTATTTCGATTTTCCTCTTTTAAGTTTAATGCATTTACATTGAAAATAAAACGGTATGATATTATAAGTTCGAAATAATAATATAGCAAAACACTCCAAACAGAGTAGCCGACTTCCGCACAAACAAGATGCAGTTATTCGCTTTCCGGCTCCTTTTAAGCTTCTGCAATTCTGCAGTAATTTCAATCAACAAACATTTCTTTTTCATTTTTCTGATACAACCCTGTTGCGTGACTCCGTTCCACAGCTTTTTTCGCCGAAACCATATAAGTAAAAAATTATATAACGCGTGTTCTTGCTGTACCCTGATGCAAAAATGTGTGAGACAGATATATCAACTTCGCATAAGTCTATCGCTCAGCCTGGTTTGGTCTAGTGCGCATGCGTTGAATGCAGTTGAGGTGATTGGTGGGTTGAAGCATGGTTTTCAGACGATCGATAATCTCGTTTTCGTAGTGGACGGACGATGCTCGACGACCAATGAGTGCTGTGTGATTATAGGCATGCGTAGATTTGACGGACCGAACTACAAGATAGACTTATGCAGAAATGATATTTCCATCTCACTCATTTTTGCATCAAACGCCTCTCATTGCGTAAATGGAGTACACACGTTATATAATTTTTTACTTATATGGGCGAAACTATCTCTTTCTCTTTTTGCGTACTAGATTAAAGAGAGACATACATATTTATTAGAAACAGACAGACGGATGTGCCGAATTGCTTTTTCATTTCACGAGATCCGTGCACTCATTGAGCGCATGCGCAAGATAGGAACTCCACGCTCGCCTATTAGTTGAAGAGTTTGGCTTCAAAAAATTTAGAGCTCAACTGATTCGGTTTGGTTTGCATCCAGGGACCCGGTGTTTTTTGGTGCCGCTGTCGGAGCAATTTCGAACTACTCCAGTTGCGTTTTTGCCTAAAGAGCGTTTCACGTGCTGCAAGTGCGCATGCGCAAGATAAGAACTTCACGCTCGCCTATTGGTTGAAGAGTTTGGCTTAAATAAATGTAGAGCTCAACTGATTCGTTTTGGTTTGCATCCAGGGTCTAAATGGGTGTGTTCGGGTGCCGCTGCCGGAACAATTCCGAACTACTCCAGTTGCATTTTTCTCTAGAGGGGGTTTTACGTGCTGCAAAAGTTTGATGCAAGTCGCAAAAGGCCTGCGCAGTTGAAGCCCAGCTGACTGCAAGGTGCAAATCGCAGACTTATTGCTCGGTTCTGTTCGATATTTCTGCAAGTGCAAGTGTATTTTTTGGGGAAAATTTGGTATTTTTGGCATGCCAACTTTTAATGGAATAAAATAGGGGTTACGGTCTCTAAACCTAAAAGAAGGGGACCTTGTTGGACATATGAGCATCATTAAAGAATGCCATGGTACACCAACAAAACCGGTTGACATCATGCCACCCAGATCCGAATTTAATCACCTTTTCAGTGTGACCGCAGAAGGCCGCAAAAGTGACAAGATCGTACATAAATTCCCAAACGGTTCATCCATCTAGTACACAGATGGATTGAAAACAAAAGAAGGGGTCGGAGTGGGCGTATAATATGGCCCAAACTGCAGGCTATCGGTACCCTTAGGAAAAAACCCCACCATATTCCAAGCGGAAATGTACGCAATAGAACTCTGCGCCAGAAAGTGTCTTGAAATGGACCTACGAGGTGCAAGAATCTCCATCATTTCTGACAGTCAGGCAGCACTTAAGGCTCTTAACAGCTTTGTCACTAAATCCAGACTAGTATGGGACTGTCAGCAACTCCTAAAGCAACTGGCGAACCGCATTAGAGTCACGGGGTACCAGGGCAACAAAATATATAAGGAAATGAAATAGCGGACCGGCTTGCAAGAGTAGGCGCCGCGTCACCATTCCTCGGTCCAGAACCTTTCTTTGGCCTGACGAAAAGCCATGTAAGGACCGGACTCAAACAAAGGGTAGAGGCACAACAGGCCTCCGATTGGAACAATACACCAGGACTTAGACAGACGAAGCAATTCATCTCGCCTAAGTCAACAAAGGCAAAGGAACTACTCGAACTCAGCAAACCAGACTTGAGACTCATAACGAGTCTCCTCACTGGCCACTGCCCTTTTGGCTACCACCTGAAAAAGATGGGTAAAGCCGAGGGTAAAGCTGAATCAGACCTTTGCCGCTTCTGCAAAGAAGCATCGGAATTTGCCGAACATATACTCTGCAAATGCAAAGCGTTATGTCACGGAAGACTCATTCATCTGGAGCAGAACAGCTGACTGCTGCGGATGTTAAACGAACTAATCCCGGGAAAATCATGAGATTCGCAAAAATTCTCAACCTGGGAACCTACTAGAAAAAGGGAAAGCACAATAGATCTATTCAGGTCGTAGTATAGAGAGGTCCATCACCTAAACGCCCCTAACACAAGCTAATCTAATCTAATCTAAAGGTCAGAAATCTGAGATCTAAGTCAGAATTCTGAGATCTGAGTCAGAGTTCTTAGAATCCTGAGATATAAGTCAGAATCCTGAGTTATAAGTCAGAATTCTGAGATACAAGTTAGAATTCTGAGATCAAGTCAGAATTCTGAAAGCTAAGTCCGAATTCTGAGTTATAATTCAGAATTTAGAGTTTTAAGTTAAAATTCTGAGTTTTAAGTCAGAATTCTGTGATATAAGTCAGAATTCTGTGTTATAACTCAGGATTTCGCAATAAAAGCAAAACATGAGATGCACAGGCCCAGCAGTGATTCCAGAGCCACTTAGATCTTAGGTTTAGCGTTAACATAAACGCTTGCATGGCTTACACCTTGAACTATGTGAATAAGTGATGTGATGTTTAGTTGTATTCATGTCACACTAAGGAGGAGTTCCGGAACAGCTCCGCGCCTTTACGCGCCTATTCCTTTCGAAAAGTGTTTGTTACACCTGAAGTGCTCAAGCCCGAATCAAACGATTTAAACGCACGAAAGCCAGCGCATCTGTTCCTTTCAAATCGGGGTCGACTAACACCGGAGCGAATAGCTCTAGTGTTCTAAACTATTGAAAGGAATACAACGATTGTGACAGTAGTCCAAAAATGTTGGATAATTTGATTGAGGTATATTTTCCTCTCGGGTTACATTACAAAGAAATCTGGTACTGTTTACAGTTAAACTATAACTTTAGTATTACCATGCGAAAGCTGAAAAGAAAATTAAAGAACAAACATTATTTGTTTAGTAGAAAGTCGTATACCGTTCGGCAGTTATGTGCCAATTCATTCGTCATGTCCTCAGTACGCATGGTCGACTTGATGGATATTGTTGGATGCATTTAAAATGTTTGCAAAATAATATGGTAGTTACTCATGTGTCATGTCACAGTGAGATTGTTATTGCATTTATTAGATCTCTAAGGAGTTACTACAAGAAGCAGGAAAAGACTACGTCGTTGAGAATATTTTAATAAGGGGCCAAATATCCAGGGCCGCCGCTACTATATGCGGAGTGTTCAAAACACACAGGCGGCCGATTGAAAAAGGCGGCCGATGAAAAGGGCTACCGCCGTAAACGCGGTAGAAGCGCCGTAAACGTGGTAGAAGTGAAATTTATTAAAAACTATCCCCCCCTCATACAAATTCCAGACCTAGCGTATGATTCGTATGAGTCGGGGTGATAATAAAGACGAAGGAACACACAAAGGAGAGACGCGCATCTGCAGTGACGTCACAAGGGCATCGACGCTTGACAATAATAGGCAATCCTTCTTGCTTATAATCCTTTTTTTTTTGTCACCGTTTCGAGCCCATGCTCTGCACTGAAGCTCATTGGAAACCCTATGGTTTAACAATGTCTTTATGATCCTAACACTCGATTTGTGCTAAGCAATGAAACAGACTATAGTAGGTACCACATACATATTTCTATTCATGTTTATATTTCCTATCAGTAATATTTTTTGATTTAAGAAAAATGTATTAAATGTGAAAGAAGACTTGCGTAATTTTCTTGCATCTCCCCCTGGCATGTTTTGTGCCCCTTCTTGGATTATTTTCTGCCGGCGCCCATGCCTAATAGAGTCTTAATGGTCGGTTTCGATTCGCATGGTCGGCTATTCAGACTCCACCGACATCACGCAAGCCTGAGAAAGTCCTTCCACATCCTCTCGCCAAGCGAACAGCGAACGAGCCGGTTAAACATCACAAACAACCATGCCCTAGCCGGGATTCGAACCCGGGACCTGCAGCATGCGAAGCGGATAAACTAACCACTACACTGCCTCGGTCGGCCTTGGTTTGTGCCAATTGTTCGTCGGCTGTCATTGTCATTGGTTGTTTTTCTCAGTCTCTCTACGTTATATCTTCTTTCTCTCTTGTGTAACGAAATTCCCCAAAACGTGACGTTACGTGACGCGTCTTTCAAATCACTCTCCATTCTCGTCCAAATATCAGACCGCCGCCTAAGAAGTTTCACTTCAAAATAAATATCCATTGAATTTTATCGAAAATAAATCTCTCAAACAACTAAACCCATCAAGCTTTAATAACAAACCGAAATTATTTCTTCTAAACAATCACAACACAAGCAAATAAATACTTGAGTTGTCAAATTTTATTCTTTATTG